GAGTTATGCCGAAGACATGAATGAAGACATGAGTGAAGAATCAGATGATAGTTATGTCAAAACGAAGAGAAGGAAAAGCAATAAAACACAAGAAGTGGTGACAAAACCGGATTCAGAGGAAGCGATGTATCATTTATTGAAAATGAAGAAATGTTTTGATGTGAAGACAAAGAGATATATTTGTCCCATAAGTGAGTGCCACAAGAGTTACGACAAAAGATCCTCATTTTCGTGGCATTTGAAAGCATACCATTCCGACCGACGATTTATCTGCGAATCCATTGGTTGTGGCAAAGAGTTTAGGACTAAAGCACATCTCAAAAGCCATTCAGTCATTCACACGAGTGATAAGCCGTTTAAATGCGATTACAATGACTGCCAGTTTGTCACCAAAAATAGAAATCGATTGTCATCTCATATGAAGAAACATACGACCGACTCGTTTCGATGTCCAGTGAATGGCTGTCGGAAGACATTCAAGTGTCTCCTCTATCTTCGGCAGCACTCGATGAGAGTTCATAGCATACCGTCCTATAAATGTCGTATCGATGGATGTAATGCTGTGTTTACGGCTGAGTCTCAGCTCATCAAACATAAGACCAAAGTTCACAATAAAACGTATGCGAAAGATATAAAGTATATATACCGATGCGATTGGCCCGGATGTGACTGGTCTGGCGGTAACATCACCCGCCATAAGACCATTCACACGGGAGAGTTGCCGTTCCCATGCGATTGGCCAGAGTGTGGCAAACGGTTCCGCGTGAAGACATTTTTGCAACAGCACATGAATGTTCACAACAATGTTAAGCCCTATGCGTGTCATTGGCCCGGATGTACATACAGTGCCGCCAGTAATCCCAATCTCTTCAGTCATGTCAAACGTTTCCATACGAAGACATTAAATGATAATTTAAAATAAAATTTTATATATTTTTCTATATATTAATCGTTTGAATATTGATTTATTTAATGTCAGTCTAAATGTGTTTCATTAAAAATCATTGATAGATAATACAGTTCTTTATCTATACTTTAATTGTGATTAAAACTGATTTGTGTTGAGTTCCCAACACTTTCTATTCATTTTCTTAATTTCACTCTCAATACTGATATTATTGAATAAATTTAATTATAATGTTTTTATTAGGCATTGAATTAATGACTTAAACACAGAATCCAATCAATCATTAGTTTTGCACTCAAAGCAAAATCCCTTTACTTTTGTATGGTTTGAGTTTTTGTTGACATTTTGTGATTCAATTGTTGATTAATTTGTATTTAAATTAATTGTGAATTAGTTTTAACTTTGTTTAAAATTTTAAATATGAAATCAAAGAGGGCACAACTTTAGAATGTGGGCACCAGCGGAACAGGCCGCGGAGTGTATATTTGAATAGCCCTTGGTCAGTAGTACCGAGATATGGTAGTCCGAGTTTACGACGACAACCCGTTTTCGAGATATTCGAGATAAAAGTTGTGATTTTCCCATAGAAGCCCATTATAAACAAAATTTTCTTTTTTACACCTTTTGTTATGTTATGTTACAGTTGTTCCGGAGATAAGAATTACATATAGAGTTGTTCCGGAGATTAGACTTATATATACAGTATACGGGATAAGACATATATGTATACACGTAAACTATATGTATATGTGTATATGTATATATAAGTTGGTTAGGTTAGGTTAGGTTAAGTTAGGTTAGGTTAGGTTAAGTTAGGTTAGGTTAGGTTAGGTGTAAAAAAAGAAAATTTTGTTTATAATGGGCGTCAATGGGAAAATCACAACTTCGATCTCGAATATCACGAAAACGGGTTGTCGTCGTAAACTCGGACTACCATAGCTCGGTACTACTGACCAAGGGCTATTCAAATATACACTCGGCGGCCATTTTTGTTGGTGCCCAGAAAATAAAGGGCAGCCTCAAAGAGTAATAAAAAGTCATTAATTATTAGTATTAATGATATTTTGGATGAATTAATGGTTGAAAACAATAGACTTTTACATGAAATTCAATGTTTGAATGAAATNCAATAGACTTTTACATGAAATTCAATGTTTGAATGAAATGAAAATATATTTATTTAAAATTCACTCAAAATATGAAACACTTATCGATTCAGAAGACAATCAACACTTCCGGACATTATCTCAAACATTGGATCAATTGAATGACAATTGCATTAAATGTGAATCTAATTTCCAACTGAAGAGTCCATCAAATGATAAACAATTGAATCCCAGAATCGATGGCATAAAAGAGTTGCAAACAATACATGAAAACGAAGATAATGTCCGACTCAAGAGTGGATCAAATGGTAGACAATTAAGAAAACGTAAAACACAAGAAGTGATTCAAGATATGAATGACTTAAACGAAGACTCGGATGAAAGTTATGCCGAAGACATGAGTGAAGAATCAAATGATAGTTATGTCAAAACGAAGAGAAGGAAAAGCAATAAAACACAAGAAGTGGTGACAAAACCGGATTCAGAGGAAGCGATGTATCGATTATTACGACAAAACCCGTCGAAAATGAAGAAATGTTTTGATACGAAGACAAAGAGATGGATTTGTCCCATAAATGAGTGCCACAAGAGTTACCCCAAAAGAGACACACTTTCGTGGCATTTAAAAGCATACCATTCCGGCCGACGATTTATCTGCGAATCCATTGGTTGTGGCAAAGAGTTTAAGACAACAGGACATCTCAAAATGCATTCAGTCGTTCACACGAGTGATAAGCCGTTTAAATGCGATTACAATGACTGCCAGTTCTTCGCCAAAAATAAAAATCGGTTGTTATGTCATATGAAGAGACATACGACCGACTCGTTTCGATGTCCAGTGAATGACTGTCGGAAGACATTCAAGTGTCTCAGCTATCTTGAGGGGCACTCGAAGAGAGTTCATAGCATACCGTCCTATGAATGTCGGATCGATGGCTGCAATGCTGTGTTTACGGCTGAGTCTCAGCTCAAAAAACATAAGATCAAAGTTCACAATAGAAAGTATGCGAAGAAAGTGCAACCCATAAAGCGGTGCGATTGGCCCGGATGTGACTGGTCTGGCCCTTACATCAAACAACATAAGACCATTCATACGGGAGAGTTGCGGTTCCCGTGCGATTGGCCGGAGTGCGGCAAACGGTTCCGCCTGAAGACGTTTTTGCAACAACACATGAATGTTCACAACAATGTTAAGCCCTATGTGTGTCATTGGCCCGGATGTGGCTATAGTTACGCCAGTAATGCCAATCTCTTCAATCATGTCAAACGTTTTCATACGAAGACATTAAATGATAATTTAAAATAAAATTTTATATATTAATCGTTTGAATATTGATTTATTTAATGTCAGTCTAAATGTGTTTCATTAAAATTCATTGATAGACAATACAGTTGTTTATCTATACTTTAATTGTGATTAAAACTGATTTGTCTTGAGTTCCCAACACTTCCTAATCAGTGCCTTAATTTCACTCTCAATACAGATATTATTGAATAAATTTAATTATAATGTGTTTATTAGGTATTGAATTAAGGACTTAAACACAGAATCCAATGAATCATTAGTTTTGCACTCAAAGCAAAATCCCTTTACTTTTGTATGGTTTGAGTTTTTGTTGACATTTTTGCGATTAATTTTGGATTTAATTTGTATTTAAATTAATTGTCAATTAGTTTTAATTGAGTTTAAAATTTTAAATATGAAATCAAAGAGTAATAAAAAGTCATTAATTATTAATATTAATGATATTTTGGATGAATTAATGGTTGAAAACAAACGACTTTTAAATGAGTTATTGTTTGGAAACAAATGTTTGAATGAATTGAAAACACATTTAATTAAAATTCACTCAAAATATGAAACACTTATCGATTTAGAAGACAATCAACACTTCCGGACATTATCTCAACGATTGGATCAAATGAATGACCGAAAGATCTCTTCGGATATTATTGAGATAATGTTTGGAACTAATGTCCGACTGAAGAGATCATCAAATGATCAACAATTGAAGCCAAGAAATGATGGCATAAAAGATTTGCAAACAATACATGAAAACGAAGATAATGTCCGACTCAAGAGTGGATCAAATGGTAGACAATTAAGAATATGTAAAACACAAGAAGTAATTCAAGAAATGCATGAATTAAATGAAAATTCTGATCAAAATTATGGCGAAGACTTAAGTGAAGACATGAGTGAAGAATCAGATAATAGTTATGTCGAAACGAAGAGAAGGAAAAGCAATAAAACACAAGAATTGGTGACACAATCGGATTCAGAGGAAGCGATGCCTCGATTGCCGCGAAGACCTCAGATAAATGCTAAGAAATGCTATGATTTGACGACAAAGACATACATTTGTCCCAAAAATGATTGTCACAAGAGTTGCGAAACGATTACTCAGTTTAGAAGCCATTTATCGCGTTGTCGTTTAGAACCGATATTTAAGTGTAAATTCAAAGGATGTGATAAAGTATTTAAAGATAGATCTTATTTTAAAATACACCTCAAGAATCACACCAATCAGATCCGGAAGAGAAGGAAAATCAATAAAAGACTAGAAGTGATGGCAAAACTGGATTCAGAGGAAGCGATAACTCGATTAATACTACAAAATCCGTGGAAATTAACGGATTGTTTTGATGCGGAGACACAGACATTCATTTGTCCCGTAAATGAGTGCCACAAGAGTTACGACAATAGGAAGAGTTTGTCGGGACATTTCCACGCATACCATTCCGGCCGACAATTTATCTGCCAATCCATTGGTTGTGGCAAAGAGTTTAAGACTAAAAAACTCCTTCAAAGCCATTCAATCATTCACACGAGTGATAAGCCGTTTAAATGCGATTACGACGGCTGCGAATATGTGGCCAAAAGTAGTGGTTTAATGTCATCGCATATGAAGACACACACGACAGACAACACGTCGTTTGTATGCAAAGTCGATGACTGTCTGAAGACATTCAAGAATCGCGTTGGTCTTTTTGTCCCAAAAATGATTGTCACAAGAGTTGCGAAACGATTACTCAGTTTAGAAGCCATTTATCGCGTTGTCGTTTAGAACCGATATTTAAGTGTAAATTCAAAGGATGTGATAAAGTATTTAAAGATAGATCTTATTTTAAAATACACCTCAAGAATCACACCAATCAGATCCGGAAGAGAAGGAAAATCAATAAAAGACTGGAAGTGATGGCAAAACTGGATTCAGAGGAAGCGATCACTCGATTAATACTACAAAATCCGTGGAAATTAACGGATTGTTTTGATGCGGAGACACAAACATTCATTTGTCCCGTAAATGAGTGCCACAAGAGTTACGACAATAGGAAGAGTTTGTCGGGACATTTCCACGCATACCATTCCGGCCGACAATTTATCTGCGAATCCATTGGTTGTGGCAAAGAGTTTAAGACTCAAAAACTCCTCAAAAGCCATTCAATCGTTCACACGAGTGATAAGCCGTTTAAATGCGATTACAATGAGACGCTTATACACCGGTTTTCATCACCAAATTACAGTAGCGTATACTTCTGTGTGTGCTGTCTGTTGTGCAGCAAACATACGTTTCAGCTACTGACAGACTTCTGTAAGTTCTTAGCGCAACCAGAAAGATATCACATGCGGACACTTCACAGCCCAACGCCCGCGCAGTTTAAGTGCAGTACCGATGGCTGTAACGAAGTGTTTGCGACCGGCCATCGGCTGCTCACACATCGGGTCAAAGTTCACGGCAAACCGGGACTCGTCTACTCATGCGATTGGCCGGGATGTGAGTGGACGGGCGCCCAACTGAACCGACACAAGCGGTCACATACGGGCGAAATGCCGTACCCGTGCTTATGGCCAGAGTGTGGCAAACGGTTCGCACGCGTCGAGTCGTTAACAAAGCACATGAATATGCATAACAACATTAAGCCCTACGCTTGTCATTGGCCCGGATGTGGTCACCGCTACGCCGGCGGTTGGAATCTTCTCCAGCATATGAAACGCATCCATAGGAAGACATCAAACAATTAATTTGTAAATTGAAATAAAGTTTATGTAGTTTTATATTTATTAATCGTTTGAATATTGATCGCTACGCCGGCGGTTGGAATCTTCTCCAGCATATGAAACGCATCCATAGGAAGACATCAAACAATTAATTTGTAAATTGAAATAAAGTTTATGTAGTTTTATATTTATTAATCGTTTGAATATTGATTTATTTAATTTTTACTAAATGTATTTCATTGAAATTAATATACAATACAGTTCTTTAATTAATAAACAGTGTATTAATTGTGATTAAAATTGATTTGTGTTGAGTTCCCAACACTTCCTAATCATTGCTATACTTTAATTCCCAATACACTTATTATTGACTGATTTTTACAGTAATTGTTATGTTTTATAATGTATTGAATTATTATGAGAAACAATTCATCCAAAATAGAGACTCGATTTGCACTCAAATCAAAATCCCTTCACTTTTCACATGATTTGTGATTTTTGTTTACATTTTTGTCATTCAATTGTTGTTTAGTTTTGCACTTAATTTGTATTCAAATTAATTGTGAATTAGTTTTTAATGTGATTTTGAATTCAATTATGGATTCAATGATTAATATTAACGATATTTTTGATGAATTAATGGTTGAAAACAATAGACTTTTACATGAAATCCAATGTTTATGTGAAATGAAAACCCATTTAATTAAAATTCACTCAAAATATGAAACACTTATCGATTCAGAAGACAATCAACACTTCCGGACATTATCTCAAACATTGGATTTGAAAACATATTTATTTAAAATTCACTCAAAATATGAAACACTTATCGATTCAGAAGACAATCAACACTTCCGGACATTATCTCAAACATTGGATCAATTGAATGAGCAGAAGAGCACACGTGTTAACGACAATTATATTACCATTGAATCTGATTCGCGACTTAAGAGTCCATCGAAACAATTGAAGCGAAAAAGAAAACCTCGAAAACAAGAAGTGATACAAACTTTCAATGATATCAATACACACACAGACATCCGTAACGAAGACTTGGATCAAGATATTGATGAATCAAATGATAACATTGTGGACACAGAGACTGTCAAAGAGGAAGCGGTGATCAAAACGGATTCAAATCAATCACTCTATGAATTGTTGCGACAAAATAAGTCCGAAAGAGAGAATTATTTTGATTTAATGGCAAATGTATTCATTTGTCCCATAAATGAGTGTCAAAAGAATTTAAGAAACGATGACAACTTTTACAGACATTTATGTGATGTCCACACAAACCGTCACTTCAAGTGTGGATTCAAAGGATGTGATAAAGCATTTAAGAAATTGTCTACTCTTAAGATACACGCCATCACTCATGAGAACCGACGGATCAGATATCGGTGTGAATATAAAGACTGCGGCAAAACATTTTTAAATCCATGGGGTCTGAAGAGACACGCTATGACACACATCACTCAAAGCACTTCCACACCAATTGCCAAGAAGTTTAAGTGTCATTACAATGACTGCGAGTGGAAATTTACCACAAGAGGACAATTAAAAGCACATTTGGAAAGACATTCATCTGAGAGACCCTATAGGTGTGACTTCATTGGGTGCGGGAAGTGCTTTAAGACATCAACTGATCTCAAGAACCATTCATTACTACATCAAAGCGGTCCCACTCTTAGGTGTGATGTCGACCGATGTGTAGATATGTTTTACACCGAATACCACCGAAGCCTTCATCACAAGTCTGTTCACAATTTGTGCTCAAAAAAGTCTGATATTTGTGCTGAAGATTCGGATAAGAATTGTATCGAAACTATGGATTCAAACAATTCATTGCGGAATCTATTGAATAATCGCACGGAAAGAGAGAAATGTTTTGATTTGAATACAAAGACATTTAAATGTCCGCTAAATGAATGTAAAAGTAGTTTTGCATTAAATCGAAACTTTTTCCTTCATTTGCATTATGTTCATCCGATTCAGACATTTGTGTGCGAATACAAGGATTGCAAAAAAGTGTTTAAAACACGATATGATTTTAATCTCCATTTAGACTATCATTTAAATGGCAAACAATTTAAGTGTCATTATAATGGCTGTAATTATGAAGCGCTAACAAATAAATTATTGAACAGACATTTAGAGATTCATTCAACGGACAGACCATTGTTTAGATGTGATGTCATTGACTGCGGGAAGACATACAAGACATCTGTTGGTCTTTTAATACATTCGCGGACACATGAAAGCCGATCGACACTGAAGTGTGGTATCAATGGATGTAATGATGTGTTTACGACTGAACACTTCAAACGCAAACATCAGACCGAAGTCCACAATCGGGCGCCACTTATTCACCGAAAAATCATCCATCGATGCGATTGGCCGGGATGTGAGTGGACGGGCGATCATTTGAAAGCTCATAAACGGTTACATTCGGGTGAAAAACCATACCAGTGTTTATGGCCCGACTGTGGCAAACGGTTCCGAATGAATAAGAATTTAAGTGATCACATGAATGTTCACAACAATGTTAAGCCCTATGCGTGTCATTGGCCCGGATGTACATATGGGGCCACTAATAGTGGTAATCTTGTTAAGCATACAAAACAAGTTCACAAAATGTAATTAATTGTAATTTTAGATGAATTTATAATTGATTGAAGAAATCTAATCCTAGTTTTACTAATTTGTATCAAGTTTTGCTTATCCTTTACATTGTATAAACATTTGTCAAAAATTATAGAAATATTAATTATGTATCTGTAATAATAACATAATGAAAAATAAATTTTGTTTAAATTATTTAATAAAAATAATTTTTAATTAAATATTTATTACTTTTTATACTGAAATGAGTTTTTGAAAGTTTGGTAAATAATATGCAATGAATTGAAAATCCCTTCAATTCACACAACAGTCATGTTTTGTCTTTGTTTATATTTTTATCATTCAATTGTTGTTTAGTTTTGCACTTAATTTGTATTCAAATTAATATTAATATATAAATAGTTTTAATTATATTTTTAGTTTTAATTATGGATTCAATTATTTATATAAACGATATTTTTGATGAATTAATGATTGAAAACAATAGACTTTTACATGAAATCCAATGTTTATATGAAATGAAAACATATTTATTTAAAATTCATTCAAAATATGAATCACTTATCGATTCAGAAGACAATCAACACTTCCGGACATTATCTCAAACATTGGATCAATTGACTAATCAAAACATCACACGTGATAACCATATTATCACTGAATCTCGATTTAAGAATCCATCGAAACGAAGAATATTTCAAAAGCAAGAAGTGATACAAACTTTCAATGATATCAATACACACACAGACGTCGATATCGAAGACTTGGATCAAGATATTGATGAATCAAATGATAACGTTGTGGACACAGAGACTGTCAAAGAGGAAGCGGTGATCAAAACGGATTCAAATCAATCACTCTATGAATTGTTGCGACAAAATAAGTCCGAAAGAAAGAAATGCATTAATTTAATGACAAAAGCATTTATTTGTCCCATAAATGAGTGCCACAAGAGTTTTAGAAATGATGACACCTTTTACAGACACTTATGTGATGTCCACACAAACCGTCACTTCAAGTGTGGATTCAAAGGATGTGATAAAGCATTTAAGAGGTCGTCTA